TATCATTAATTATTTAAAACATAAATTTTAAAATTATGCACACAGTGTTTGAATCTATTGAAAAATTTACAAGTTATACACATGCTATAATGAATATATATAATTTTGATTTTGAAATATAATAGTCAAAGAAATGTTGCATCTCAAATTACAAATATAAATCAGATACATGGTTTATATTGTATCTTAATATTGTTAGTAAGATGATATAAATATATGAGAGAGTAACTTGGTTTAAAGGGTTACAATTTGTTTCTTTTTAACAAATTTAAATACAAATATTATTTTATTTTAGATAATAATTGCTAAGGCCTCATAGATTTTTAGTTTCCAGTAAATATACCGTAGTCACAATATTTATACATTGGTCAGCACATAAATAGATTCTCAATTTACCCTTTATTAATATATTATACAAGTTTTTTCATTGGTCAATACATTAATAAAGTAAGGATAAGGCTGGAAATTTTTATAAACATCTACATTGAAAATGCAAAACGACACTTATTTTGTAACAAAATTTTTAATCTAGAACGACACTTAATATGAAACGGAGGGAGTATTGATTATATATTTTAAAACTAGCGAAATATATATTTACATATTTTATTATATTAATTTTACCCACGCATCGCGTGGAACTTTTTCTAGTTAGTAATAAGGCTAGCTTCAAAAACATCTTGCAAGTTGCTTGTTTCTCTAACCTAAATCTCAAGGAGCTTAAAAAAGGTAAATCGTCTTATTCTTTTGATCTTTTTTGCCACTTACCAATCACCATACTGGTCATTATTTTTCTTCTTCTGAATAGATTACCACAATGATCGTCATTATATAACCATCTTTCCATTTGTTGAATCATATATATGAAAGACAATAATATGTTGATAAAAAAAAAAGGTTAGCTAAAAAAAACATCCAAGATATGAAATCACTGTTTCTATAAATAACTAGCATATAATCATCAAAATTGCAAGAATGACACGTTTACAAAGATTTTTAAAAAATAATGCATCTTATCATGACACACTAATAAATTAAAATCCATAGACATATACACCATCAGTGATGGTCCATCACCATAAAATACAAGAAACTGACAAACCCAAGTTTACAAGCGTTTTCTTTCTTCATAAGGTGATTGTAATATTTTTGACGTGTAGGAAACTATATGATAATAAAACTCTATCGAAAAAGACGGGGATGATGAAATGCATCGGCTACCATAATTATTTAAATTTTAAGTGTTAGATAATTTAATGAATTTATTGACAAAAAAAATAATTTAGTGAATTTATGGCGATGACACATAGCGATCTCTAGAATGACGACATATCACTCATATGGAGAGAGTTGGTCATCTTTCGTAGAAATGACATCACCTAAACACAATTGCATTTTCTATTATGGTCTCTATTGTATTAAAGGCCAGCTGCAATAAATTTTAAGTTTATTTATTTTTTATTTATTTTTCTATACATATATATATATATATATATCTATATATAAGTTTTAGCAAAACCCAATAGGGTAATATAGTAATACATATACTCTATCCAACCCGATATTTTCGGATCAGTTCCGGTTCGGGTTTTCGTGTTTAGTTTTTTTGCCTAGGTCTAATAGTAAGGGTCCAAAAAACATTAACCTTTAGGCTCTAATTATTGTTGGGCCGAAACTGCTTGGTGACATAGGTAACAAAATCAATTTTCTTAAGCGCTTCTGAGGCACCACTATATTTCTAGAAATCACTGTCACCCTCACTAATCAAGCACAATGTCTTTATTGTGTACCAAGACTGCCATTCTCGATGGTTGGAAATCGCATGACTCCGCACTTATCAATTTCTCCATACAATATCATCAATTTCTCCGATCCGATCCATTAGTTCGTAGAGCTATTTACTCGATTGCAGATGGGAAGTTTTTCTGATGGTATGCCTCTAGGAATCTCTCGATTTTGATACCACTTATAACGCCACAAATAACATTATTTGGGCCACCATAAAGCCCAAAATGCATTTATCTTTTTCGTATTTCGTCATGAAAAATATTTAGAATTAAGCATTCTTAAACTAAGATCGTTGTTTTTTAAAACATATATAGGAAAAAGAGTGACCTATGAAATAGGAGTCAAAGATGAACACACGTTCAGAAATCTCAACAAATTACAGTGGCCAAATGAAAATGTATATTTAGATCAAAAAAAAAAAAAAAAATTGGACAAAGCTTTTGCCAAGAACGACATCATTTGAAGACGTGTATGATGTCCATATTTTGTGCTAAAATACGCTTAGCCATATGTTGTTTCACCAACATAATACCCAAATAGTTTCAAACGATTTACTCTATATCTAATTAGATAATATTAATCTCCTGCAGTGAATGAAATTAAACTTTGATGTAGCTAGCTCCTACAATTTGGGACCAGGGTGGGAGAAATTAACCAAGCTTGATTCAATTTTACAGTATCAAAGACAAAAGATATAAAATTTGGAGCATTGTCTCCTGTTCTATTCACTCAACAACCACCACTAAAATCTCGAAACCTCTATTGTCATAAATCTTTTCAATCTAATGAAATCAAAAACAAAGGATTTGATTATGTTCTGTCACAATCCACATGTGCATTTGCCTCTACACCATCCAACACAATCTTCAATCCTTATGAGAAACTTCTCCGTACGTTCCTCTTAAGTATCCACCACACGAATTTATTTCCAACGCGAAACAAGAGTCTTATTTCCACTCTGGCTTAACTCGTTTCCAATAAATGAATCTTTCTTCTTCTACCCACAAATTTTTATTTTTAACACAAATATTTATTATAGAAAAAAAATATATTGATTGATTTGATTGATGAGAGAGGTACGAAAGGTCCTATATTGAGTACGGTGCATCCCTCTTTTCAAACCCATAGTCGCTAGTTTTCCCTTCTTTATAATCCCTCTCAAAAACTCAGATTTTTTCAGCTTGATGTTGCATTTATTGTAAAACCGTCTTTTTTTGGTGAATAAATTTTACATTCATACAAAAAAAAAAAAAAAAAAAGATTGTCCAAACTACGAATATGATATTTTTAGTGCAAAAGTACATGCATTATGCATGAATCTTCATTTATGAATCTATTTGTCTATTTCCTCAGGTAGGGTTCGCTCACTCTTCTTCGTTAGGTAGCTAGCTTAATTGATTTATCTTCTCGGATTTTACCCGATCCGATCACTCAAGCTTTATGACAATATAACTCATCTTCTTCTTGTTCTTACACTTTTAGCTTAAGACTGTCCAGCTCTAGATACTAAAACAATCAACAATGAACTCTGATAATTGGTTGAATATGGTTACATTGTGGTAAACAAAAAAAACATTTACTAGTAAGTAAGAATAAACGAGTCTGAGGCCTTTTGGTCGAGTGGTAAGGAGGCGGGCTTGGGCGCCAACACGCTTCAAGTTTGATCCACCTGCTGTGCGAAACTCCAACACATTTCTCTTGGACACCCACACGGATATGACCCATACTTACGGCCCCATTTGCATATTCGGAGAGAAGGTCTATCCGTGGGTTGCATCTCTTCCGAGAATTAGTTTGGATTCCTCCATAGGCCTAGGATTTACCCTAAGTTATAAAAAAAAAGTAAGAATAAACGTAAAAATAGTGAATTACTTAAAATGGCATGAAATGTAGATTTCTTTAGGTGAATGAGAATGTTATAGTTGTTTTTAGAAAATAGCAAAAGCATATTGGTAAAATATTGACTGAAAATGTAAAATGTTTTTCTTTTAAATGAGCTTTGAAAAGTATATTTTAAGCTTAAATATATAAATATTTAACCCGCTAAATAATATAGATATCCAAAAACATAGATCACATGATTATATGAGAAAAACATAAATATATTTGACATTAATAGACATAGAGAATATCATGTAGTACAAGAAATGTGTTCTACAAGTTGTAGATTAAGAGCCAAACCGGATAAATTCTTCATTTGCTAAATTAGATGTCCACGTAGAATACTAGTGTTATACTAGAATAAATAAAATCAATCGTCACGTAAGATTTATAGTTTGTAAACAAAAAAAAAATCCAAAATCATTCTAAATGGAATTAATTTTATTATTTATTCAAATACCACTTATGTAATTACTGTCATTGACTGCAAATATTCATGTAAAAAGGGTTGAAAATTGTTATTTTTGTTTTATCATAAACTTTTGTAAAATGTTGCCTGGATTTGCCTTTGCATTTTCCAACGAACAATTCAGTTGATTCGTTTCTTGATATCTGGAAATCAAAAGAAAAAAACCTTCATTATTAAATTATAGTACCACAAAATAGAAAAAAAATAGTCGTCTGGCCAGAACGTGAACACGAATAGTTTAGTTTAGCACTCTTAATTTAATTCTAGTGCCGACTAAATATAACTGCAGATTGGTTTTGTTAAAAAAAAGTGTAAGACTATTGTGAGGTTTGACGATTTTACTTTAGTTTATGTAGTTAGTACCCTATTATTCTATTTAATATTACAATATGCAGTTTTGACAATGCAGTTTTGACTAAGGAATCTGAATTTAATTAATTTAGTAAAAGCCTTTTTACAGAGAGAATTTTACGTGTGCAAGGAGACACAAAGAACTAGTTAACGCGGTTTTAAAAGTCCCATTAAGACAGAGAAGCACCAGCTCTTGTGCATTACCTTGGTAAACATGACTTCAGCTACTTTAACGTTAAGATTCCGAATTATGTTTATAAACTTGTAAATACTTTTTTTATATATATAATCATGTGATTTCTTTTTGCATCTCGTTTATCAAAATAATTAGATATAGTACTCATATGATTAACTTTGTCTTTTGTTTGTACCTTAAAAATCACATGCTCTTAGCTCCTAGAAGTTGCCTCTAAATATAGAATCCAATGTTTCCTCTAATAATGTTTTATAACTCTCTGTCGTTTCTTGAATAGGTATTCTTTTATTCAAGACTCTGCGGCTCAGAAGTAGTAACTTTTAGTGGTAAACAATAGTGTACTTTTTAGGAACTAAAGAATTAGTTTGGAGGTCAAATCAATAAATATACATTTTTGAAATTAAAAAATAAGGAGGATCTGTGATTGGGTGTTGCATATGGGACTGTGATTAAGGAAATTTTTTTTTTAATAAATAAATTAAAAAACACCTGTCTCTCACATTATTTTAAAAGAAAAGTATTAATCTCTTTGTGTGTGCCCCATGCTACTTTCTTTGACTATGTTCATAGTATTTTTTTTCTCTTCAATTTTTTATGTTTCTCTTTCCATTTTTGTTCTCTATATCTCATCTATAAATAGACACACACCATTCTTCTCCTCCAACTTCCTCCCTTAATTAGTATCAAAAAATGGTGAAAACACTTCAAAAGACTACAAAGAGAATGTCATCTCCATCATCATCATCTTCATCATCCTCATCAACATCATCATCATCCATAAGGATGAAGAAGTACAAAGGAGTGAGAATGAGAAGTTGGGGTTCATGGGTTTCAGAGATCAGAGCTCCTAACCAAAAGACAAGGATCTGGCTTGGTTCTTACTCAACCGCTGAAGCCGCGGCTAGAGCCTACGACGCAGCTCTTCTCTGTCTCAAAGGATCCTCAGCTAATAATCTCAACTTCCCAGAGATCTCATCTTCTCTCTTTAACATTATCAACAATGGTGATAACAACAATGACATGTCTCCAAAGTCCATACAGAGAGTAGCTGCTGCTGCTGCTGCAGCCAACACAGATCCTTCTTCATCATCAGTCTCTACTTCATCTCCATTGCTTTCATCTCCATCTGAAGATCTCTATGATGTTGTCTCCATGTCACAGTACGACCAACAAGTCTCCTTGTCTGAATCATCATCATGGTACAATTGTTTTGATGGTGATGATGAATTCATGTTCATTAATGGCGTTTCGGCGCCTTATTTGACAACACCACTTTCTGATGATTTCTTTGAGGAAGGAGATATCAGATTATGGAATTTCTGCTGATTTTTTTTTTACTTTTAATCATACCTTATTCTTTGTTTCAATATATATACTTCAGTTATGTAATACAATGTGTTATACTTTTTCTTTTTTTTTCTCTTTTATAATCAATTCTCACAATGTATGGAACATTTGGGGATCTTTGTACCAATATCTAAATTATTTTTGAAATTAGATATTTTTCATGTTAAAAGTTCAGTAAATCTAGAAGTAGTGGTTATAGTATGCTTTCGAGCAACGAAACGAGCTTCGAATGATAACAAGTTAAAAGGTTATTTTTTTAAAGTACATAATCATATAGCGTTGATTAAATTATGAAACCGTAAGTTAAAAGTTAATGTTGAAAACAATCATTTGAGATTTCATAGAATTTTCACTTAAAGTGTGAACGCAGAATTTGGCGTTACTGGCTTTAACATTGTTTAATGTAAATGTGTACATGATACAAAATAAGTGGTGGTAAAATTAAATCAAATAGTCTGGTTTATAAAGATAACTATACGATTTACATATGATTTTTTTTTTTTTATGTATATATATTATTAGGTAATGAGTTAAACAGAGAGCAGAGTTTCATGTGAAAAGTTTTACAAAGTCAAAGAGTAAGAAGCAAGTTTCACGAGGCTTGTCATAGAAGGCGATGAGTTACCCTATTTAATTATTGTTGAATAGAGTAAGTATAAGTATTACTCCATCTCTTTCAAAATATAAGATGTTTAAAGTAAATACACATCATTTATTTTTCTTTTTTAAAATATCATTTATATTTAATTATAACAGTTTTAACCAATAAAAAAAGGACTGCAGAATACTAATGATTACAAATTGTCAAATGCATTTAAATCTACATAGAAACTTGTAAAACATCTTATAATATGAAACAAAATTAAATTACGAAAATATCTTATATAATGGAATAGAGGGAGTATTTATTTAGAAGAAAAGATAAGGAAAAAGAGAGAAGAGACAAGAGATGCAGAATGGTTTGTGTTGTGTTAGAATTGGTAAAAACCAAAGAGAAAGAGTTAACGTGAAAAAATTGTGTACGTTATGATGTGCTTAGATTTTCGTAAAAAAAATGACATCCATTTTACTCCAACATTGGTCTGAAGAAAAATCTAACAGTAGATTTGAGCAGAAAGCCACATGAGTTGTTTTTGGTTTCTTGTTATGTGTGTGTCTTTGTGATATGGGGTCCCATTCACTCTCTTACCCTTACTCCTCACAAACACTATCTCTATTTTTTTAGATATGACTTGTTTTTTTTCTTTAGAACAATTTCTTCACTCAAATAGCAATTATAGCAATGTCTATCGATTGATGATACGAAAGCGGTACAAATATTTTAGCGGGTAGAGGAACCGGTAAGCAATATCGAAATAGTTAAAGAATGGTGAGAATTAGCAGTAAAAAAACTGTACACAAAAAATAACTAAGAGTAATATTTTTGGTACAGTTTTTGTTATTTGGTAATTATTTTTTTAGACCATTTATGTGAAATCTTATAACTAAATATGTTCGATCCAAAAAAAAAAAGAATCAAAAGGTATCTATTCTACTAAATTTGTTTTTTTCAATACACATGTGAGTCATACAAAATCAAGTGGAATATCTTTGCAAGTGAACTCCGGTTCGAATATCTTTCTTTATTTCGTGTTTTGCAAAATTTTTGACCCAATAACAAAAGAAATTGATAGATATTGGTATATTCAACTAATGCCAATTATTTTTATTTTAAATCATTGCAATTTGTATATATACAAACAAGTTGTAAATTGACCATGCCTATAGGTTTCCTTTCCGTAATTTGAGTTGTCTTCGAGCAAATAAATATCACTGAATAAATTTACTAAATACTGTAAAAGAAATTAGAAATTTGGGTCTGAGTTTCTGACATGGGCTTTTGGTTACACTTGGTCCCATGAAAAGTGCCTCACATTCATTTTTCTTTCACCTTTCACATGACATATTCTCCGGACCGGGACGAGTTTTTTCTTCTCAGGGGATCTCTTAATCATCGCCCAAAACACATAACATGGCATTAGTTTTCTCAATGTTTTATGTTTAAATAAATTTTGCTGTCAAAAAAAAAATAAAAAAAAAATAAAAATAAATTTTTAGAGAACCTTCATACAATAATATTTTATAATTTTGATTCGGAAACGGAAAACCAAACACTTTTTGGTGTTATGTAGATAAATACAAAAGACAAAGAAACTTCGTGTTGCTAAATCACTGGGCAATTTTTGAAATAGAACCAACTTTGGTCGTGAAATTATCATCTCAATTATACGATTATGTTGTCTCATTATAACGAATATTAAAGCGTATATATAATGTTATTTGATTTGTCAATTATACTAAGATTGCGATTTCACGATGGCTAGACAATGCATCTATATGATAATAGTAGTGGTGTGGTAATATGTAGATGGACAAGTGGACAGAAAAATTATACGTCTATTTTTTTGAAGTATTTTGTGGATCCAATATCCGAACCAGTGGTTGGTGGTATACATACACAGACTACTGAGCTCTATAAATTCATACACTAATTGATTTAGCCTACTAAATGCATACAAGAACTTTTCAAAATGACCATTATCCACTAATTGATATAGCCTATATTATATCTCATTATCCACATAGAGAAAGCAATCTCAATTTTTTTCTCCTTTTTCTCATTTTTTTTTAGAAGTTTTGGGTCGAATCCCATACATCTCTTTAGACCCGGGTCAGCTTTTAATATTTTTATCTGTACTAGCTATCATTCAATCATGTGACTTTTTAGAATTTTCCAAGGTGGCCTTTCCGGTCGAGCTATCGATCTTTGGTAATTTTTCTCTCCCTTTTTATATTTTTTATAATTGGGTTTTCGTTTTGCGGAAACTCTACCTCTAGAATGGCTCAATGTACAGTCACAATTGTTTTTTTTTTTTTTTTTTTCTCATACCATTGGTTGTTGTATTAGGGCTAAATGTTCTTTCTGCATATCAGAGAAATAAGTTAAGAATAGTGTGTTAAGCACACTACTTAAGGTAGTCTAATTATTGAAGAAAACAACTAAACAAGTAGTCCTAACAAAATCTATTCGAATGAACCATATCCAAATCCATAAGGTCAGTGCCTAAAGTGTTACGACCTGTAAATGAAAACACAAACTAACACCAAAAATAAAATACAATATAAACATAAACTAACGATTTCCATAATTTACACAAAAATCAATCATACTTCGTTTTTCAAAAAAAAAATTTATACATTTTTATTAAAACATACAAATATTTATGAAAACTTTAAACAGTTTAATATTAAATAAAAAAATTGTATTATTTATGGACTGTGAATTTATGGGTTGGGCCTTTTAGGCTTTTGGAAGTTAAGTATAGTCGTGGATTTAAAAGCCCAATGTGTGATCCATTTGTTTTTACTAAGAAAGTTTAAAGATTTTCAATCCAATATCTAACCATCGGCAAAAATCTGGAAAACCTAAACCTCGTCTTGTCAACAAAATCTGCAGTTCCTTGCTCATTTCTCAGTCCAAATTCTTTGATTTTGATTGATTCGATTCAATGGGTTTCTCCAAAGATCAGTTGCTTGATCGACTTCAGGTTTCTATCTTCATCTTTAAACTCAAATTCATCATCTTGATTTCGCATTGCTTTTGTTTGATTGAATTCGTTAGATTAGATTAGATAAATCATTAGATGAGAACTGAAAATTTTACTTCGTTTAGGCTTGATTCTGTTTATATTTGCTGAAGAATTTGTGTGCATTAATGGATTGTGATGTATATCTATGGATTCCAAGTTATGTGCAGAATTGTTTTGAACTTAGAGTTTTTCAATTACTGCTTTTAGATTCTAATTCTATGGTCAAGAATCTTTGATGTTACACGTTTTTATTAGTGCCAATGTTTAAAGATGTGGCAATGTGAATTGATAATTGAGGATTTTGTATGTATCTTTCAGGAACTTGAGATTGATTATTCCAAGTATGAACATCCGCCTGTTTTAACCGTCGAAGAACAGGTGAAAATACCGGAAAAAAGTTTTCGATTTGTAAACATAAGTTATAGGATGTTGAAAGATGGATTTATAAGGCTTTGTTTTGTCTATTTAACTCTTCAGGCCAAGTATGTAAGCAGTAGTGAGGGAGCGTTGAGTAAGAATCTCTTCTTGAAGGTAATCTTCAAAGCGATACACCATTAAGTTAACCGCATTATCAAGTTATTTCCACTAGAATTGACTATTAACCGGTTATAGATGGCACATATGCTTCTGTTTTGTTTTTGCAGGACAAGAAACATCGATATTATATCGTTTCAGCCATGGTGGATACGAAAGTTGACATGAAAGGTAACACATGTTTTCTCCTTTTTCGTTTGTGGATATTGGCAAAGAAGAAGTCACTGGGTTTGTGAAGTCGAAATGGGTTTTTTTGGATGTTAATGGGTGTTACCTGTGACTTCTAATTTAAACAGTTTTATCTCAGAGACTTGGTCTGGGAAAAGGAGGAATTAGAATGGCTCCTGAAGAAGCACTTGGTGAGCTTTTGCAGGTATTTTTCATAGTCTCTCTCTCTTACTCTGCTACTGTTTTGTTATATATATATCTGGAAAGAGTTTTAATAAATGATTGTGCTGTAACCATTGAACCATGGTAGTGGTTGTTTTCTTGAAAAAAATGACAAGAACAGTTTCTTTAGACCGAATTGCTTAAAATGATCTGTTTGTGCATGGTGATAAGTTTGTTTTGCTTATCGTAGTTTACAACAAATCCACATTAATTTATTTAACTTAGTGTCTTCATGTTTGAAATTTTTGACACTCGTGCTACTTTCTTTTTCGTCGAAGGTGTCCCTTGGATGTGTTACACCGTTTGCAGTTGTAAATGAATCATCAAGGTATTGTTTGCCTGAACATTGGTTCATATGTGTTTTCCCTTCCAAGTTTCTAATTATTTCCATTGACTGACATTCTTTTTTAAACTTTCCTTGTTAAAGAGATGTGTCGCTCTTGTTAGACCAAAAATTCAAGAACCAAACACGCTGCATCTTCCACCCATTGTCTAACGACGTCTCAGTCTGTAAGTTCTTGATTACAGACTTTTCTTTTATGGTTCAAGTTCAAGCCAACCCGAAATAGTTATAACATATAACATGCCAGCTTGAGAAACACAGTTACCAATAGATCTTAGCGTATATACTAATTTGGTTGGTCCCTTTTATTTCCAGCTCTTAACACGTTGGGTCTGGACAAGTTTCTGAAGTCGATTGGGAGAGATCCCGTATACGTTGACCTTGAGGCAAATACTCTAAACCTTTAACTTGAGACCTCATGTTCCGCAGTTTCTTTCTTCAAGGTTAACCTTTTGAACTATGGATTTACTGTTTCAGGCTAACCCGGTAGTTGGTAAAGACCAGGCTCCAGATCTAGCTGTTTATGTTCCGTCTAATTCAGTTGTTGTTCCCGAGGTTTCTAATAAAACATCTACTATACAAAACCCTCCTCCAAAAAGTGTGTCAGCAGATGTTAAACCTGTCGCTTCAGGTATGCCTGATTTGTCATGTTTTTAACAATTCGCTCCAATTCTTGCTAAACTGTGAAGGATTGGTTTATATAACTCCGTTTTGCTCCAACGGTGCAGCCAAACCGAGCAAGCCAGCCGGTAAGGTGAAGAGCATCGCGGATAATTCAGCCCCATCAGCTTACAAGAACCCCGAGAAATTTGTGGAGGAGATAATGGACAAAACATCAGCTCTATTATTGTCCGAGGTAATAAACTCATCTCAAAATTAGAATCGATCTCGCAACAGTTTGAGATCAAATCTGAACCGGTTTTACATACAGGCAAAGGGAGAGAGTGTGGAGGCTTTGGCAGAAACACTGAGAAAACGACTTACATCAGAGTTTACCCATCTCGCTGTGAGTACATTTAGATATACTGTACATGGTTCGCATTGGTTTAGACTAAACCATTTGTACCAATGTTGATTTTGTATAAATTGATTGCAGATTATGTACAAGAACACTGCCTACACAGAAGGTTTCTATGCCGGTACGCGCCACCAACCGAACCGATTGTAAGAGGTTTGGTTTACATGTTGAACCGGAGATATTTGGGAGAGAAACATACCGGTTAAGCAATTATATTTTTCCTTCGTTGGACAAAAATTTTAGATAAGACTGAAAATGATTACATTTATGTGAGCTCGAACCATTTATTGACTTATTGTTGCTTTGTTTGTTTAATCAAAGATAAACTTTTCTATATCCGAAAACTGAATTTGAAATTGGAACAATTTTTTTTTTAAAAACCGATCTAAAGCCTAAGATTTTCTGAAAATAAAAGATATATTCAGAAATTTCATAAACTAACTTAAATAATGTTAATAAAACTAGGATCGGACCCACTGTCCACCGCGGGAGAATATTGATTTACATACATTGATTTTAATAGTGCGTGTTTTAAGTTGAGCGAATCGGGTAGTGTACTTATAAATATTCATAATAAAGAATTGTAGAGAAAATGTTAAATTGTTTATAATTAAACCGATCATATTAATTATGATTAAAAATAGAATTTTATGTTTTAGAATTCTAAAATTAGATGATTCATAGGAATTAGAGCAGTAAAAATAAGTCAAAAACCGTGGGTCGAGCCCAAATCATCTCACTATGGGGCATATTTGTGAAAATATATTAAACCCGTAAATAAACGGGCCACACGGATTGATTCGCAGTGGATCATAAGTTTTAATCGGTTTTCGTCCGCGGGTTGGCGGATCAGCCCGCATGTTAGTATTTATTGATAAAAGTATAATTTATTCAACATTTGGTAATTTAAAAACTTTTAATAAATGAAATTATAATATTTATAAATATAATGAGATATAAAATTATTTCCTCTAATTTTTATTTATTTATTTATTTTAGTAGTATTTTAAATTTTCATTACTTTAAAATTATTTAAACAAAATCCACGGACAACCCCGCAAATCAGCATACATTCGCGGGACGGATTTGTGTTTCATATATGCTATCTGCGGGTCGTGTGGACCAACTAACAATATGTCAAAATATATTTTGCCTATCACAAAACGGGCTTAACGGGACGAATCAACTCGCTTTGACAGCTCTAGTGGGAATATTATTTAGTCATACAACAAAATAGAGTTTGGACATAGGAATAATAGAATCTATATCCTATTTCTTAGATGAGAGATTGAAACTTTGAAAGGTGAAATATAACGATTAAAAATTAATTATTATTTTTCATGATTCGCAAAATTTAATAAATATTTATCATCTTGTTGAATAATTCTAAAAATCATATTCAAGAAATCTTTATAATTTTAAAATTAAACTTCTTTGGTAAGCTATCAGTATGAAAATACCATAATTTCGTTTAATTTAATTAAATTAAAATTAGTTACATGGATTTCATATCTATTTAATTTACACGACCAAAATAAAAATATCTATTTAATTTATAAAATAGATGGGTTAGTTGTGATAAATTTTCTAGAAATCTTTTGAAGCAAGTAAGATCTTTCAATTAATGCTAATTGGCTAAAATAAGCAAAATTAATGACAAAACGTTGATTGTTATGGAATTAGTTCCAAAAATATATGAACAAATATATTATACGTAATTAATGTATAGTATTGTTCGGAATATGCTTTTATAATTAGTTACCATAAATACAATCATATTTTATTTGATTTCAATAAATATTTTATTTTAGTTCGATTTTTCATTATTAAATATTAATTAGAAATCATATTCCAAAAAAAATTCAAAGATCCGATTTCAGAATTTTGGATCAATTTTCTGATTTTGACCCGATCCATTTGCATTTGTACTTCTCTTTTAATAGTATAGAGATTCTTATTTTTTCTGTAATAAAAAGGATATTACATAAACTTATCTGGTTAATTTACGGAATCAATTACGGATTTTGTTATTTTTCATGGTGGCATTTATGGATTTTGTCATTTTATGAATAGTTTGTGGATTTTGCCATTTTTTAGACTTTTAAAAATGATTTAACATGCGTTTCACTCGTTATATTTGGGTTTAATCGGTTTTATTTGTTTTTAGGATTTAGTATTTGGTATAAAGTATGTAATTTTGAAAAAAAAATCGTAAATACCTACATTTTTAAGTGGCAAAATCCACAAACTATGCAAAAATAGTATTTTAGACAATAATCCCTAATTTACGAGATGTTAAAAACAAAAATCATATCTGATAAATTTTTTAATTAATTTTTTTTTTTAATGAGATTGTTGATAACTTGATATTATTCGAAAAAGACGGGATTTTTAACAACAAATTAGTCATTATTTTCTACTTAATAAATAAATAAACTTCACTAGAGAGAGACATGCACAATGCAAATTTATGTTCTTCGTCTCTTAAAAGTTAAAACCTATAAAACCCTAATCGTCTTTCCCGGTGAATCCAATTTCCCGGAGCCACCGAGGTTCGTCGGAACTCTCTGTTTTCATAGTTTTCGATGTCAATTCTTCATCGATTCGCTCTATCGCGTTTGCTTTGTGTAAAACTTATTGTCAATTTCCCGTTTCAGGCTAGTTCCGGTTCGTCGTCAATTTTCCGATGTCACTTGTTCGTTGTTTATCCCTCAGGTCGGTGCTTAATCCTCAACGTCACCGATCATCTTATTCATGTCTCATCCATCTTCAAACTCCTCGTGAAGAAGACGAACCTACACGCAAAACTCCATCAATTCGAAGTTACCACAGTTTCATTCACCAGAATTCGTTAATCCGTGCCTCGGCGGCTTTCTCTCGCAACCGCTCTGTTTTCCAATCTCCATCGTCCGTTTCGTCAGATCGATTCATTTCAACCTTCAATTTCCATGATTCCGGTGACGCCGTCATCAATTGGTTGTTGCAATCTGTGGTTTCTAAGGGTTATGAGTTACACAATGTCGCTGATGTTCTTGTTTCTCTTAATCACTTGCTTGCATTGTTGAATTCTTTCACATTTTCTCAATGGTAAGATTTCACAATGTTACTTAAGATTTTTATAAGAATCTTGTGGTTATATAACAATCTTGGTTTATCATGTTTGAATGTTATAGGTGGGTGTTTATCATCGTTACATCGCTTTTAATTCGAGGAATCACAATTCCGGTTATGGTTGATATGCTTAACAACATTGCAAAGTTCTTTAAGGTAAAATTATTAGTAATGCTTGTTCTGTTGATGGAAGTTATTAGCTATATGTTAGGTTGTAATCATAACTATTTGGAGAATTTAAATCTTTCTATGACAAATTTATTTAGTGAATCTCTCTTTTTGTACAGAGTCTTCGCTCGCACCAAGGGGAGGTTCTAGACAAGGTAAATCGTAAATTTGCTACGAGTTTTTTTGAACATTTTGTGGTGAGAATTGCAATTTGACTTGAGTTAATACTTTTGAGCTTCCCTGAACTCAACATTAGCTTGGCTTTTGTGTCATTTAGGTATCAATACTCAGTAAAAGTCGAGGAGTAATGTACACCATGTTGGAAAAGGAGTAAGTAGCTTTATGATTACATTTTAGGACTTAAAAGCTTAAGAAGTCTATCTTTTCGTTCGAGGATATTTAATTGTTCTCATTGTTGTATGATACAGGTTTTTTGGAGTTAAAGGATCAGTCATTGGTCAGGGCATTCAAGTTCCTATCTTTTGGTTCTCAATGGGAGAGTTAAGACAAAACATGGTTGAGATTCTTATGTCACGTCTTCGGGGTAAGATGTTGTCGGCGGAATTGATCAAGAACGGAGTCTTAAGTAGAGGACGGTTAGTGGTGATCGTTGGCGATGGATTCGGGCTTGAAATCCAAATGTTTGATCTTGATTTCTCTCTTATCTTGAGGCGACGTCAAGTCTCACAAAGCTACGTTTAATAAGTTTCGATTTCATTCAATAATTGGAGTGTTTTGCTTTTAGTGGCTCAATGGTGTTTATTTGATTATAGAGCCAGCACAAAATGTGAATAAAGCGTGTTTGGTTGGATTCTAAAATACTATTACTTTTTTTTCTCTTATTATTTGTTTATCGAACAATAACAAATAAGTTTCAACTCTTTCAACTTCTTAAATCTTAAATTATGTTACCCATTTGCACACATGGAAGGTCACCATAAATATATGATTGAATTTAATGATTTATTTAAATGACCAAACAATAAATATATGATTCAATCTCAGCAATCAGTTACAACTTATACCCAAACTGATGGAAGCCCAGATAATAAATGGGTCGTCCATAGGCTCAATAATACATAAAACAGCCCCAATTATATGCTAATGAGGCGCTAATATTACTCGCCTTATCGACGTGACAAACTATATAACTCAATGTATTGTGTGCCCTAATTTCGTCGCCAGAACCAGAGAGAAAGATAAATGGCAGAAGAAGATTTCGAGAACAATCAGCCTTCGGTGATAAATATTGATGATGAGGAAGAAGGAGAAGATCTCTTCATGAATAATTTTATGGAAGATTATCGAATAGATGGGCATGATCAGTATGATGACTTAGATCAGATTATACATTACCGTTTTGTGGCTGATGCTGTACTTGGTGCTCAAGAAACTCGCAACCGAAATCTTCTTCACGATAACGATAACTTCATCGTTGTAGACGCGGCCGGAGAAGTAGAAGATCTTCAAATTATTAGGGATGAGCCTGAGGAGGAGGAGGAAGGAGAAGTTCTATTCAACGAGAATTTCTTAGAAGATTATCGGCATATGGATGAGCATGAATGATGAGTAGAGTTAGTTGATGATGAAAGTGATTTAGTCATTTAGATAGATTATGAAAAGTTTGTTCTCCATTGTGTTTTTTTTTCCCCGATAAGGTTGAGTTGTTATAATAAGTTTGTTTTGATTACAATCTACTATACATTTTTCAACACTTTTTGGAGATCCTAATCGGGTCGGGGTTTTTTTCAATTTTGACACGGATTTTTTTTTTCTGACCCGACTCAATGACCAATCAAAACTCTCGGATCCTGATAAATGAGACTTGCCAAAAAAAAATGCAAGGAATTCGGCCAAATATTCTCTTCCTATACTTCCCTAAACTACCAAATCCTATTATTACCGGATTCAATATCTTTCCTATATAGATGCTAACAGATTCGTTAGATATACTTCTTATTATTATTATGCTAACAATCGCTACATTCAATATCTTTCCTATTATTATGGACCACAATCAATAATACATTTTCTGATAATAAAACAGATTTGTTAATCATATCCAATTTAAATTCTAAATATATTTAGAAAATATTTTTTGTTTCCTAATAAAACTGAACAATATAACATCTACATTCAATAGCAACGAGAATAATTGGAAATGTTGAATAACTAAACGATTTTTAAAAGCATATTTCCATTTACAGCTGAAATTAATTTTCGTAGATAATATCTTAATTTCATTGATTTTTGAAAGATATTATCCTTATTTGTTCACATTATATGTCAATCTCAATATTTTCTGTGATATCCAAACCGTGCTAATCAAGATTTGAGTAAAATCTATCCCAAAACCCTAATACTTATATTGTGACTATATATATACTCAATCATTTCTTATAGTTCTCTCCACGCTTTACACCAACACTTAGAGTCAACTTCCTCTTTCAGAATAGAAACACTTACTAGAGAAGAAATGGCTGCATCCTTTGCTTTCTTGACAGACAACAGGCCTTACAAAACCTCTTGGCGTGTGCAAGTGAATGTGCTTCACTCATGGCGCCAGTATACTAACACAACAGGTGAAACACTAGAGTTAGTAGTGGCTGATGCACATGTAATTATTTATGTACATTTATCAAAATCTTTTCCATTACCGATCTTTTTCTAACAACAAACGTTGTTTTCAAAGAGGTTTTCCAGAATATCGACTCATAATTCTGCTGGAATGCTATGTCAAACGACCATATCAAAAAAGGTATGTTTAGTTCACCTTTGTTTCATTAGATATTTGCTTTATGGTTTACTTTATGGTTTGCAAAACCCCCAGTAATGGTCAGACATCTCTACTTAACGTCTAACAAACAGTTTTTTTTTTCCAGATTCAATGCGAGAGAAACACAAAAGAAAGAGACAAGCAATATTTGCAGTTGCGGCATCATTGGTAATATTTACTTTACTTTTTGAAACAATCATACTTTCACCATACTTGGTATATTTCATTCCTTTTTTCTTATAACTTAATGTGGGAACAATCAAGCATAAAACCAGCCATTGAACCATTTTATTTTCAAACAATGAAACATTTCATGCACTTCTGTACTATTGCTTTGCTTAATATTAATCTCAGCTACTAGAAAATTTAAACTAACCTTCAATTGCTGTGAAGAAATGATGCAACCGTCTCTTCTCGATGTGTTCGCCTTATATTGAACAAGACAAGTATCATCTGCAATAGAAAAACTTTTAATTTTCATATTTACAAATTAACCTAAATTATCAGCTGAAGATCCTTTGTTTGGAGTATTAACTAATGATGATGTGGGCATTGATGCTGCTACAGGAAGACCAAAAATTGCTAAAGAGGTGCTGGATGAGATGAGTACTTCAGTTACTGATTTCCCAAACCGTGAATATATTGTATCTTCTATGTTCAATCCTCTATAAATCAGATACATTGGTTACCAATACATTAATTTCGTTGTATAGTCTTAAAGTTTATAGAATCAGAACATTGGACATAACTTCAATGTTCTCATCTGTTCTATAAATTTGTTTCAGAGTGAGATAGATCATTTTTTCTGTTTATACGATTCATTTCTTTAAATGAAACTCAATTTACATTCATCAATTCGTCGATTGCAGCTTAAGACGTCGAATTTTAAAAGAGTTAGATGCGAAAGAAAAGAACTTACCTATCGATTGACCCGAAAGGAGCTAGAAGTTTAAACGTTTGAAGCAGATGGTAATGAAGATCAATCGATACTAACCTTCACAATCTTCAAACTGAAAGAGATTAAGTTACCAATTTCATGGTTCATGAGCTATTGAATCGATAAAGAAATTACAACGGATGAGTGAAAATTACTTACAAATGGTTTGATCCGAAATTAAATGCAAGTACGAGCAATTTGCGAAGCTATGAACATGTATAACCGTTTCTAATTGGATCATGTTATTCAAACAGAAAATATTTCCATGAAATTGAATCGGGGAGAGGTTGAAGATGAAACAAGTTCTTCGTTCCTCAGGTTCTGTAATTTTTTTTTTCCTATTCGTTTTTTTGTTTTTTTTTTCCACGATAAATGTAGCATTTTGTTGGATCCTTTGTTTTTTTGTTTTACAAAACAAAAATGCTTATGTTGGGCTTCTACTGTTTGGGCTTCGATTTTACTTAGTGGGCTTGCTAGATTAATTTTATCTTAACTAGATTACAATTTCATAATACAAATCATTACCATATCTAAGTTATGTTACTCTTAACATAAATACAACTAATTATACTGTTAACATAAACCAAAATAATTATTATGTAAACCATATAAATAAAAGAGAATATACTATTAGACTTACTAATATCGTAAACTTAAAGCGATTTTAAAACACACAATAAATTCTCTAAATAATTATCTATCAACACAAAAAACAACCAAAACTATACACAACTAATTCTTCCTTTATTAAAAAAACATAAATAACAAAAATATTTAACATGCGGTGTACCGCGGGTCATATCCTAGTAAATCAACATTAATTCATCAAATTTAGTTTTTAAGTAGTGGAATTTTTTAATTTTATGATGTAGTATCATTTGTTTAATTATTTTAATGAGGATTTTTTGATCGTATTGCTAGTTACTAAATTTATTAGTTTTCTTGAAATTTCACTAAATCTTGTTATAACCATTTTGGAAGTTTTAAAGACCATGTCTGATTGAGAGGTGATGTATGAACAATGCTATGAGGATTGATAGATAGAGAAAACTTTTGAGTTGAGAATAAAGTAAAAGCTATGAGGATTTTGATTGATATTTCATAATGATGAAAAAGGAGAGCTCAAGGTTACAATAAAAGTTCTCACTACTACTCTACATAGTTAGATAACCTAACATGGGCTTATGTTGGGTTTAGTTTCTGTTTAACTTCAGATTCAAGCAAAAGTTTGGTTACTTTACTTAAAGATTTGTTTGGTTTGGGTTATGTAAAAATCAAATCAATCGATTAGTTTTTCCTTTTGCCACCGTTTTGATATGTCAATGTTAAGTTTGACATGCTACCATGAAAATGCAGAAACATGTACAAGCAAAACTTAATAGAATTAAACAAACTCTCATAGTTTTATCAATGAATTTACACGAAATCACTTAATTAAAAGATTTCCAACAAAGTATTTAAGTAGTTTCGTTTCTATTTAGTCGAAGGCACAAATCACAAATGGTGAGGAACATATGAGAGCATACACATCAACCGACCTTTGGAAGACAATTTCACTATAGAGAACCTCAAATCTTTACCAATCAGAGGATGATAACTTCACATTTGATAGAGCCTCTTCGGATATTGAGGAGTTTCAAAGAAATGTCATCTTTTGCTGAAGAATAATTCAAACGTAGAGTAAGTTTCTTGAGGATAGCTGAATTCACTAGAAAGCATCAACATGTCCCCGGATTGTCCTTTCGAAATCAACAAACTCGAGAGATGATACAAACACTTAGGCACCGATGAAAAACTGATTCGATGCATCTCCTCGGGATGTAGCTGTCATGCAAAACCTAACCGTTCCTAAGGGAAAATGAGAGAAGAAAACACAATGATAAGATTTGTAGAGACTTCATAGAGATGAGAAAATCATAGGGTTTAAAGCAAATCATCACCAAGGTGAGGTATTTAAGGTACATGCAGCTCTCAAGAAAGATGGGCAACCATTTGAAATGATAGATGCATGGAGACTAACGCATAGACGAGACATGTAACCATATTGAGGCAGCGATTCTAATTTTTTGCATTAATAGATGAGCTGCAACCATATATATATAAAAGAATGTGGATCAGAAAATTTTATGAAAGAATATGTGCATGTCCAATATGGGAACTCACAAATATATAAATCGAGAGTGTCTGCACATATTTTCATATCCTTGAAATCCGGAGGGAGAATATTAGTGAAATAGATGAACAGAATCAAGGAAGATGATGATCAACCATGAAGGATGATGATCGTGTTGGTGAGAGGAAGAAGAAGACGAAAATAGAAAAGATTCTATTGTTTTCAATTGATGATAAGTACAACGTGTATATACACAAATCTACTATCCGGTACAAACCGGTTATGTACAAACCAGTACTCAAATGTACTAAACCATCTATTCATCTAATATTCCCCCTCAAGATGGAGTGTATATGTTAATAACACCCATCTTGCGAATGAGATTCAGAAACTGAGTAGGAAATAGAGGTTTAGTTAGAGCATCAGCCAATTGGTGTTCAGTCCCCACATGAAGAGTCTTGATTGTGCCCATTAGAACTCTTTCTCTCACAAGATGGCAAGCAAGATCCAAATGCTTAGTTCTTTCATGGAAGACCGGATTATTGGCGATGTGTATAGCTGCGGTATTATCACAGTAAAGAACAGAGGCCTCTGAAACATCAACCCATAAGTCAACCATAAGTTTGCGAAGCCATAGCATTTCTTTAACTGCAGTAGACATTGCTTTATATTCGGATTCTGCAGACGACATGGAGACTGTCTCTTGCTTATTTGATTTCCAAGATACCAAAGATGGACCAATAAACATACAGAATCCAGTAACAAATATCCTTGAATCTCTGCAAGTACCCCAATCCGCATCAGAGAATCCTTTCAACTTAAGATCAGAAGTGGCTGAGTAGAACATACCCTGTCCAATGGTACCTTTAAGATAGTGTAGAACTTTATACACAGCTTTTAGATGAGGTTGTCGTGGAGCAGACGTGAATTGGCATAGTTTGTGAACGGCAAAGGTAATGTCTGGCCGAGTAAAGGTCAAATACATTAGTTTGCCAACCAATCTTCTGTACATCTCCACATCTGTCAAGAATTCCCCTGTTTCCATATTCAACTTCTGACTTGGATCCATGGGAATAGAGGAGGGTTTGCAGCCCAAAAGTCATGTCTCATCCAAGAGATCCAATACATATTTACGTTGGCAAATAGATATACCAGCAGAAGTCCTAGCAACCTCAAGACCTAAGAAGTACTTTAGAGGACCTAGTTCACGCAGCTTGAAGGACTTTTTCAAGGCTGTGGTAAGAGACGCAGTAGCTTCTGATGAGTTGCTGGCAATAATAATATCGTCCACATAAACCAATACAGCCATGTATATATCACCAGTCTTTCGGAGGAACAAAGTGTCATCACCAGTACCACCTTTAAAACCCAAAGAGATCAAAGACTGCGAGAATTTTAAAAACCACTGACGTGAAGCTTGCTTGAGTCCATAGATAGACTTTTGGAGCTTGCAAACTGCATTAGGTGGAAAAGTTGTTCCCTCTTTAGGGATGTAACCAGGAGGCAAAGCCATAAAGATTTCTTCATGAAGATCACCATTGAGAAATGCATTGGACACATCCAGTTGATCCAAAAACCATTTCCTTGGAGCTGCAATTGAAAGCAAAAATTTGACAGTTGCCATCCTTGCAACAGGTGCAAATGTTTCAACATAATCAAGTCCCTCTTTCTGAGTGTACCCCTTAGCTACTAAGCGAGCTTTATACCGTTCAAGACTACCATCAGGATTTAACTTTACTGTATATATCCATTTACACCCAACTACAGTTTTACCAGGAGGAAGAGAACACACCTGCCATGTATTTGTGCGTTCTAATGCTTCTATCTCTGCAACCATAGCCTCACAGTATTCCTTGACTTTGCTAGCTTGTTTATAACTAGTTGGAGTTGGAAACTTTGTGAGAGCATTGATATATGCACAAAAAGGATCTGAGAGCTTGGTATTAGATAAAACCTGTGAAATAGGATGTTGTGTGGACTGTGATGTAGAATAACAATAGTAGTCATTGAGATAAGCAGGAGGTCTTGAACGTCTATGTGATGTTGTCGAAGATTCAGAATGCACCACTGGTTCAGATTGTAATTCCCCTTGTCTTGAATCAGAATTATATTCCCCCTCACTAGAAAGCCCAGAAGATTCCCCTTGTACAGTAACTCGAGTACTTATATGAGGAATGAACCTTGAAGCCTTATCAGTATCTTGAGAATTCTGAAAAGGAAATGTGTCTTCAAAGAATTTAACATTTCTGGAAATAAAAACAACATTACTCTCAATATCCATCAGTTTGTAACCTTTATAGCCTGCTGGATAGCCCAAGAAAACACAAGCTTTAGCTCTATCTTCAAACTTAGTACGCTGCTTAGGAGATGTACTTGCATAGCACAAACAACCAAAAGTTCTTAAATCAGTATACTCTGGTGCTGTACCTGTAAGTTTCTCAAACGGTGTCTTGTTCTCCAGTAGTGGTGTGGGTGTCCTGTTGATGAGAAAAACTGCAGTGAGAATACAATCCCCCCATAGAGACAATGGCAGATTTGATTGGAAAAGGAGAGCCCTGGCCACATTCAAGATGTGTTGGTGCTTCCTTTCAACAACAGAGTTCTGCTCTGGTGTCTCAGGACATGAATGATAGGGAATGATACCCATCTTGCGATAAAGTTCTGTAAACTTCAATTCAGGAGCATTATCAGATCGAACACAACGCACTCGTTTATCAAACTGAGTTTCTACCATCTGCAGAAAATCTGGGAAGACTGTCAAAACATCACTCTTCAATCTAAGCAGATAAACCCAAGTAACCCGAGTGTGATCATCCACTATTGTCAAGAAGTATTTGTATCCTTCTACTGTAGGCTCTGAGAATGGACCCCAAACATCAATATGTAATAAGTCAAAAGGAGCTGCACAAAAGTTATTTCTATTTGAATATGGAAGTTTCTTTTGTTTAGCTCTTTGACAAATATCACAATGTAAAACTACTTTATTTCTTTGTTTGGAAATACCAAAAACATCTGTAATCATATCAATCCGATTAAAAGACGTGTGTCCAAGTCTCCTATGCCAAACAGCAGAGTCTATTACAACATTCAAACTATAAGAAGATAGTTGGCTTGAATTTGCAGGTTCTTCAACATCCAACAGATAGAGATTAGCAATTCTTCTACCTCTTCCAATCGTCAATCCCCTGATAGGATCCTGTATGAGGCAAGAAGCAGGATCAAAAATAACTCTAGAACCAAGATCGGAAGTCAATGAGCTTATACTGAGAAGATTCATTCTGAATTCTGCTATGTAAAGAACATTCTTCAAACTGATGGCTGTATTAATAATCACTGTACCAACTCCAGCTACCACAACAATATTACCATTAGGAAGATTAACATGTTGACTAACAGAAGTATCAAGATCACTG